TAAACTGTCAAAGATATGAATAAATAACTGATTTTCCATCATTTCCTCAAAAGAGCCATGCCTTAATGGTGCTGAGCCCCTTCGCTTCTTTTTTGCTCGGTTTCAGTTCTCGTTCGTTCCAAAGTTCCAAAGTTCCCCCAAAACCCCAGTTTCTCCCGAAACCCATAAGAATACCTGCTTTGCAGGCTACTAAATACGCTAGTAATTATTTCACAGCTTTTTAAAACCACTCTATACGTAACTGTGCTTGACCGAAGGAAGAAGGAAAATTACTAGTCTTTGTTATTTCTTTTTCTTGATTTTAGCTTGAATGGGGCTTACTCACGCGGCAACCATGACGACTGGAACAATACGCTACCATAGCCTCGCAATATTCAAGTGCTTGAGAATAAATTTATGGGTTAAATTTGTTTATTCTCCTTAGAATAAACATTGCTGCCGCGTAAGGCCCATTAGGAGCGAGGATGCATAACGAAACGAAAAGACCAGGTTTTGGAACGAAACTTTGCATTTGCATCCTAACTGACCAATCAGAAGTCATGATTTTTACCTAGTCTGCTTACCTGTCCAACTGTGTTGTTAAATTTGATGAGTTGTGCAAATTCCTTTCTGCTTAACTTAGCGTTCTTGTCCACATCCATTGCATCAAAGTACTTTTTGAAGATGTGATGATCACCAGCTGATTCGTCAACAGCTTGATCAAGGAACCTCAGCCAAACTATAAGCCTGTTGCGTAAATCATCTCTGTTGTGCTCATAACAAACCACTACAGTCATAGAAAAGAAACGTACATTCATTCAGTATCCGGACTTTTCCTAGACTGCAAGCAGTCCCTGTATTTCCGGCCTTGGTCACTGTTAGGCGTCTGCTTTACAGTGGAACCTCGTTAATCCGGTCACCGAAGGAACATTCAAAAGTGGCCGTATTAACGGGGTGACCGTATTAAGTGGGCTGTCACAAATATGTTAAAAACGTGTTTTATTAATCAGTACGAAACTACTAAACAAATTAAGTGCAATAATGCATATTGTATTTTTAAATAAAGTTTCTAAAACTTCTGATGCTATTGGAGCTCAGTTATAACTCAACTTTAGTAGTACTTTAAGTAATGCTCCTAATAAGAACGATAGCGCTTTCTATTCTGCGGCATATCGCTTGCCCCACATCAGAATTTTGAGATTTTCTACTGGGGATGTATCAACCTATGGAGAGATGTTTGTGGTTTTCAACCAATCACAACACCCAAAAACAATAGAAAGAAAAAGCCTCAAATTTGTCATTTTCCCCACATAGAATTTCTGTCGTATTGAAGCACAGAAGATTTATCACTAAAAGGGAGTTTGTCAGTAGTTAAATATCACAAAAAATATTCTTCTCCATTTTTCGTGTTTCGACCAATAACTAGATTGGTTTAAACAATACTACAATTATCATCTTTCTATATTCCATGCCGTTGAGTGCTATCGTTCTTATCTGCATCGTTACTTAAAACTTTAAATTATACAGTAGTACAGGACTGTAGATATAACAGTAGAACAGAGAAAACTGAGTACAGTAACAACTACTTTTAAAATAGGCAGTGACTTTGCTCTGTACAGACGAATGAAGATTCCTTTGAAGCCATACTGACTCGAGGCTGGATATCACCCCAGACATGCTATCGGCATGGCTCGTTTTTATACTGTACCGCTATAAAATAAATGCGGACATACTTTAGCGCATCGCGCTGTACGTGTTTCGTACATCGATTCCAATCGCTTTCACAACAAAATCGTGCCAATCGAACACCAACGTACATCGCACTCGGTGTCGTGGTAAGTAAGTGGAGTTTCTTGTTGGTTCTCTCCTGTATTTGAAGAGTTGTTTACTCCGAGTTCTCTGGTTTTCCTCTCTCACTAAAAATCGACTTCTTCCTAATGAATCCATTGAAGAAGAGCCACGCATTTTGTGGAATCCACTGTTAATCCCATTATTACTTCAAGGAACGAGTTCAAGAACTAAGCATTACGGTGGCATTTCCATTTACGCACCAAAACAATGGACTAATGCTCTCACTTTCAACATAAAAGGGTGAAAGTGAATGTCATAAAGACATTTATTTTCTAGTGACTTCAAATTTTATATTGAATTTCATATCATCGTTTCTTTTCTGTATCTCGTTTTTGTCCTTGTAAAGAGCATTGACCTTTTCATGAAATAAAGTTATTAGAGTGCAAAGCATATATCCGTGAAATAGCACAGAAACTAAGTAGCACTAAACACATCTATTTGTCTTGTTTTCAATTGTTTCATTGGTGCCATTTTGTATCAATTGATGGTTGCAAGCATTTCCAAGAAAGTCAAAAGACAAAAACATGGCGGCCATTGTGGTGGCGTTAACAATGGAGGCTGATGAGAAATCTTTTGTTAAATGGTACCAACATGGCCGCGATGACGTAACGTGCAATCAAAAAACTAGTTGGTACTATGTCACGGATATATGGCCTGTTTGCACTCTATCTTGCTTCTGCCGTAAAGCCTCCTCTAGCTAGTCTGACTCGTAGTTTTTCAGGATTTTCTCGCTTAAACATTTTGCTTGTCACACCAGATAAGCAACAACTTAACAACTATCGATGCTATTTTTTTTTGCCTTCCTCGTCTCGACCAGCTAGATGCCATTTTGTTTCGAAAGAGGAGAAACTACATCACAATTGCAACAGTGAAATGACACGTGGAATTTCACCTTAAAATATGGGAGTAATTTGTCGTTCATGGTATTATCAAGATAACCTCCTTTTGACACTCTTTCGATTAAAACTTGGGCAAAATTTCTAATGAGTCTGGCTAAGCCAGGAAACACTTTGAAGCCGGGTCAAGGAGATGACAAGGAAAGGCGCGCCTCATAAGAATGCAGCAGCAGATATCCTGTGACTTTGATAAAAGTGATCAACAAGGCACTCATTATGTATGCCAGAGTGTGGGCGGGGGCAGAGAAAATTTAGGAATGGGGGGGGAGGGGTCTGAAAATTAAGTTCGGTTCAACGGCTAAAATTAATATTTGATATTTTTTCCAGGGAAGTATGAAATTTTAGAGCGTTTAAAAAGAGCTCCGCCCTCCACCCCCGGCATATATAATGGATAAAGTAACTTAGGCCAATCAAAAGCGCTTTTAAATAAATTTTACAGCGTACGTTTTTGCAATGAAATCTGGTTAACGTACCTGGTTTTGACTTGTGGACCTTTCCGGTCGGGGGTTGTGTTGGGTAAATATCTGTAACGCAGAGTATTGTATTTGAGTCCAGTTGTCTAACATACTCTTAAAATGAATTTGATTATCTAAGACGTTAGCATTAGAGTCGTTACCTGCACATGGTCCATTGTTCTCGATAGCAATTTTCTTGCCTTGAACACATGCTGTCCTGTGCAGCTCACAGTGACTGGGGTATGTTATGCCATCTGAACCACACACAGTCTTCTTATGATCTGGACAGCGGATGATACACTGACAAGTTGCGTTACCTTCCTCTATGATACACTCCTGACCAGCGTGACAAAAGACGTTTGCGCAATGGTCTGTTGTGACAAACATATTTACTAAGGATTAGAATAAATGGCCTCTTATTCTGTGCATGTTGTAAATTCTGCTTGTTCAAAGAAGGCTGAGAGCGCTCACTGGCAATGAAAAGGGAAAGAAGACAAAATTATTATCATTATTAAGGCAAAAGAAAAAAAGGAGGGGTATTTGTTGATGAAAGAATCTAAAAACTAGACGCACTTTGGTGCGTTTACTCGGGCTACCATCAAGATGTCCAACTGATAATAGATAGTAGATTTAGTACGAGTATGAAAACAGCATCGCGCAATGAGTGGCATATGGAATATCTCCGATGATCGAGTTGAGTTGTCATACAAACTATGAAAATAATTTAACAAAGCATTAAAAGTCATCAATATTTAGGTGTACACAAGTACCTTGAGGATGGGGGAAGCCATGTGAATCTCGAGCATGAGAGTCAAATATCCTAAGGGACAGACCATTGGATATTTGAGGGATTCAGTATGCAGTATTTAACCTTTATGCATAAAAAAACTTATCCTTGTTGTTATAGATACAAGTCCGAGGCTCCTCGACTATGAAAAATACGTTAAATGGTGTCTTGAAAGATTTTCCGTGTCTCTCATCTTCAGAGTAGTTGTCAATTAAGTTAGAAGAGTTAGTAATTGTTTGTTCGAATACGTTTGAGTCCCATTTGTGTTACTTTTCAGTTGATTTGAGATCATTTGAGTTTCATTTGAATTCATTTAAGTTTCATACGAACCGTTTCGAAACCGACCCTTTTGGCTGTTCGTCATCAAACTGAGAATGTGTCGACTGGACAGGTCATTTAAATTCAGGCATTTGTCGCTCTACGTTCCTAACACTGATATCAACTGGGCTGCAATATCACTCCTATTAAAGCAGGCTTGGATTGTAATTCCAGTTGCTCTCGCTGTATTATGACGTATTTGGGGCGATCTTGATCTCCAAATACATAATATAAAATTAATAATACAAATAAATATAAAAATTTGACGCCGTCGTCATCAAATGAACTGGATAATTCGTTCGCAAATCTATTGACTTCGATAACAAACTATCAGGCCATGTATCCAATCTGATCTGAAATGTAGGGCTTCTAGCTTCTTGGAATCAACGTTTGCAGCATCACTAATCAATCAATGAAAAAGATGAAAACCAATGTCAATACATTCGTCATTTTGCAAATCCGACCTCGTTTCGATGCCCCAATTGGTTACCAGACTGAGCGTGTTTGAACCGCAAAAGTAGAGAATCAGCAAAGTAGCACGACCAGAAAATTTAATGTATTGATAAATTTGAGGAAAAAACATATTAAACTTGAATGAGCATAAAATGCCAAATGGCAGCGTAGGCTCGCATTGGCCATGCCGCTTGCGCGCCTAGAATTCCTAGGCCTAATTCAATAATGACCCAAGAGATCAGTCAAGTACTCAGCTACGGCAGAAAACCAACAACAGATGCCAGTGTTACTCATTATCTTCCCTGTCTGAGTGAAATCAGGTGGATCGCAATAGAAGCGAAATAAGAAATTAATTAATAAAACGAAATAAAAGATATTTTCCAGTTGGGGAACAAATGTGTGGAACTTACGGAAAAAGACGGTAAGACGTTTCTGGCTGCAGGCATTTGAAGCAATAATGATTGCTATTATTATGAAAATCATTGCATTGGCCGTTTATTTAATAGTACCCTGGTCCCAGAGGCTCGACGATTTTTCTCCCGGCCGCTGCTTCGCAACTAGCTCACCGCTTCCCTGCTCAAAATATACGTGGCTGGGAGAAAAATCGTCGAGCCTCTGGGACCAGGGTAATTTAACAGATGAGTGATGGAATATCTTATTACGTTGCGTCTAGATACACGGTCGACATCAAATAATAACAGGAATGAAAAGCTAATAAAGATATAAATAATCAAAACTTGTCTGTCGTTTCCATATAAAAAATAAAATAAAATAAAATAAACTCAATTGTTCACAAGAAGGATTTAGACAACCCAGGCATAATCCCAACATTCGTGGGGCTATTCGTCTACACGCAGGCTGAAAATGGTTGAAGGTTTTCCGGTGGATGTCAGCCACTCTTGACATATATCAATAATTAAGTTTGTAGTTCTTTTGCTGTGAAAGCTTCATTATTTGAGTAGTGTTTGAAGGCGCTACGAAAGAAAAGTTCAGGAAAACCTTTGCCTGAGGTTTTCGCGTGCCTGTTGTAATATTTTGTTCAAGTCAATCCATTTGCATGCATGCAGTGGGGCAATTATGGTATATATATGTAGTTTTAGGGTCTCAATAAACACGCTACGCATGACCACCGCCGTCTCGAAAAACTTCAAAATTGTAAGGATAAACCCTTTTTATAGATAACTGTTGCCTCTTACCATTATCTTCTTTTTCTTCGCTCGGCTTCACAGTTCTCTGTAAAAGAATGCAAAAATATTGTACATTTGTTCTGAAGTTTCAATCTAATTAACTTTATCTCGGTATTAATACAGTACTTGAATGGAATCTTTTAAATTCAGAGATGGATTTGTTAACCTAGCTGTTGACATGATTGAATCATTCTAATACTTTAGTACTTTGGCTTTTAATTAATTTATCAAATCATATAGTCCATCACCTGACAAGTATATGTGCGAATGTGCTTTCTAGTCTAAAGACGACTCAGTAGGCTTCTTTAATCTTCTCGATAAACAGGATTTACAACCTCGACAATGTTTCTTGTGTATCATTATTATCGATGGTTTGTTTTGTCTTCGTTGTTTTACATACGAAACCACTAGAGGTTGTCTATCTGAGAACTCAGATGAGGGGATCTCAGAGTCCAAGCAAGTTCAGTGTCCTTGCAACGATATACAAACGTATTCCGGCGACTGACATGTACATATAATTCCGCAAAGTGTCTATTTTTTCAATAATCCTAGATGGAGTTAAAAGCGAAAGCATAAAAATTGAATTCTCTTCTAACAACTGTCGATAGACCTTCTCTTTGATGTTTTAACACAAAAGAATCTGTATTGAATTGTTGTGGTATTCGTTGGGCTCTTACCGCGTAGAGAGTCGCTGGAAGAAGAACAGCACACAGCAAGATGATAATTCTAAGCATTTCAGACCTTGTGAGATTACTGGACAAGGTATTCAGAACCAATTAAGAGTCTTCTTCCTCTTCTCCTTGTTCTTCTGTTACCTTAGTGGTGTTGGACTGATGACTGAATGGACAGAAAACTTTGTTTTACTCAATCAGCGAGAAAGACCTTCGGCCAAATTTCAAAACAAGCAAATGCCGAACAGTTTTAGTACCAAAGGCCCTTGACACTCGCAAAGAAGTCGAGATCTGAAAGCCTTGCCTCTAAGAAGACAACAAAGCTCGAAGTGAATCTCCAAGTCAATCTAACCTTTTGATTCCCATACCTACCTAATTCGAAGCAGAGAGTAGTAACTTGATAGCTCTCGTGAAGCAATTTGTGTCAGATTTTTGGCAGGCCTACTTAAATGTCATACTCCTATCCGCTAGGTTTTCGTGTGTTGATCACCTCTTGACAATTAGGGTCACATTCCTTCTGGATCCTGCGGTCACATTCGACTCATTCTAATAGAGAGTTCTTTTCGCCGAGGTATTCTAAGTATAGACCCACAAATTAATGTAACTTTTTTTTTTTTTGTATTGTCAAATGAGGTCTTCGTCTAGCTCCACTTCAATGGAAAGGTCATATTAAACATATAGGTTTTTCCTTTTTCCCCATTCACAAATCTACAAACCTCTAGTTTTGATATTAGTCTTCAGTAATGTTAGGAACACTTTCTTAAAAGCATTTTCCTTCCCTCTTACTTCCAGTCTACCTTAAGTAAGCTGTTCAGGGCCCGGTTTGTACGAAAGCTGGATAGCGTTATCCGGTGGATAAATTTATTGCATGGATAACAACAGCATTAACTGAATAATTATAAGGATTTTTTTTTATCCGTTCCGGTATATAAAAAATCGTGCGTTTTGGTTGGCTGTTTGAGAGAGGGGGTATTTTACGGCAAACGTGAAACGTCAGTTGACCATCAAAAAATTCTTTAAAATTAGTGAAAAGGAATCGGAAAAATCTCCAAGTAGCAGATAAACAAAAGAACACTTGTCTTTGTCGAGAAAGTTTGCAAAAGGTGTAGGGAAACGATGAAAACGTGGTCACGTTTGCCGTTTGCGGGAAGGAAAAACGGGAATCTTAATCTGCCTGGTATCTTCCCGCGCTCGCGGTCCGGTATCCTTTGCCGCTAATAAACAACAAAACAAAACGACTACAAAAACAAGTAAAAAGAATACGGGAAAAAATTAACAAGTTATTTACCGTCCTATAGTCGGTCCAGATAGGGAAAAACTGTGCCCTCGGTCTTGAAAACGGACCTTGGCCTACCGGCCTCGATCCGTATATTCAAGACCTCGGTCACAATTTTTTTCCTATCCAGTAGTATAGGGAATGGGGGTTCCAGCGCAATCTCAACACGGGGTAAGACCCGCGTCAAAAATCCACCTACGGACGACCCCCACTCCAAGTGTGGTTGAGGGCAA